GATGGGCGACTGAACAGAGAAATTGAAACACGAGTACAAAAGGCCAATAAGGTTAGTTACCAGCTTACTCCACTACTGAAACATCCTAACATCCCCATGACAACAAAACTCAAAATGATCAACACCATATTCATCCCAACACTCACCTATCAGTGCCAAACATGGACCACGAACAAGACATTGGAGCAAAGAATTACAACATGTGAAATGCGATGTCTTAGAAAAGCAGTAAACAAGACCAGGCGAGACAAAATTAGAAACACAGTAATCAGAGAAATGGTGGGCACAAATGATGTCATGTCGTTTCAAATCAAACACCAAAGAATCAAATGGTTCGGACATCTCATGCGATTACCAACACACCATCCAACAAAACGTGTCTACATATACATCAAAAAATTCAATGGCAACAAGGCTAGAGTGAGACCGAGAAAGACCTGGATAGATGGAGTTAGGGAAACATTAACAACTTACGGCATCCCCAGACCCAAGCTCTCCGGCTGGTGGCAGAGAGATGTCTCTTTCTTCCCGCGACACCCAAAAAGGTATGAGCGGCGGATAAAAGTAAAGAAAAGTAAATGTGTTGTTATCATTCCAAATGGTCTAACCTTCACTCTGACTAGTCACTACCTCAGAATTGGTCGTTTTTAAAGACAAGCGGGCTAACCCAGATTTCGGGGGTTTCCAGAAATCTTGACCTACACGAAATGTAGGCATTGCCCTACTTATATGAGAAGTTTGGTTTCAATTGTGTGTATATGTGTTTGGTTATAGAGAAAACTCTCTTTGTCTTTTGAAGAAACTGAACAAGGGGCAAAAACATTACCTTCGATTTTTCGGGATAGGCCGCTTGTGCTTAAAAGTGACAAATTACAAAGTTCTGTCTTACATTGTTTGGCTGTTTTGAGTTACTAAGACCATGAGGTCAGAAAGCAAATTAATCCTCTATCTTCTCTATCAAGATCGTTAGAATATTCGGAGACGTTATCAAGATATTCAAAGGATTGCATTCGAAAAAGCTAGACATAATATCGTGAAACTAAAACATTTTGACGTCACATTTCTCAAAACTAGGTAGTGAGCAGACAGAACAGTGCAATTCTGAGGGAGCGAAGTGCTGTCATTGTCTCCGCAGTTCTTGAAAAGATGTTAGTTATTGATTCTTTTGCCTGTGGCGTCCACGTCCGTCCCGAGACACTCAAATCACTGCACTGAGTCGAGTCCCCGGCCATGACTTGGGATGTTTCCCATGAGGGCTCCCGTTTCATTTATCGCTGCAGCCTTGGGGTTTTCTCTGCCCTTATTTCCTATGCAGATTGTGTTGAGATGAGATGAATGGCCTGTTAAAAATTGCTAGCTCACTTGGTCATTATGCCGAGGCCATTTTTTTGCGATCTAATTGAGATACCTCCCAGCAGTCTACTCGTCATTTCTGTAACCTCTGCAACTGCTGTTACATTACAAGAGGACATTGTTGCTTTTGATACATTTTTATTTAATGGGTGGCAAAGAAACATGCATACATTGCAGACATAACAATACATACATATATCATTATTATATATTATAATATTGCAGACGTGACTAACTTTCACTATCCAACACGTTTATCGTAATGATATTCAAAGTATTTGCAGGATCTAGAATAATTGGTCACTTTTAAGCACAAGGGGGCTATACCAAAAAATGCCATTTTGAGAAAATCGAAGATGAAGTTTTTGAACCCTTGTTCAGTTTCTTTAAAAGACAAGGAGAGTTTTCTGTATAAACAAACAAATATACACACCAATGAAACCAAACTTCTCCTATAGGTAGGGCAATACCCACTTTTGGTGTAGGTCAAGATTTCTGGAAACACCCGAAATCTGGGTTAGCCCGCTTGTCCTTAAAAGTGACCAACTATCAATGCATTACACAATATTTCTACTATTAGACTAGCACACTATGTATGTTGGTACATGGTAAAAAGTTGTTCCCGCATCCGATCTGGACATTGGGGATTGCCTTGTTAGTGAGACAACTTCCTGAGCCTTCGGTATAATATTGTGGTAGGGTGGCCAGTTCCTTTCCACGCCGCCTTTACTTCCTCAACTCGAAGTAAGGTAACCTCAACGGAGAAACGATTAACCATATCCGTACACCCTGGGGTCATTTTGTACCCCCGGGGTTTTATTCGTCACATTTTAGAATACTTCTAGTGCGAAGATCTCCTTGAAACTTTCAGTACTTCTCAGAAAATCATTTTGACAGACTGCTATGCAAAGCGTATGGATCGGATTAACGAGTAAATTTCCTCTTTTGAAAGTGATGGCACAGAATAGGGTTTTTAAAAAAACAAACAATAGTCTTGATAGGGGCGTTAAACGCATACACTTACACTTAACCTTTTGTTACCGTTAGGGTAATTATATTCTCCAATGATGTTGCGACAAGACAGCCACTTTACAAATGTTGCAGCTTTCCATAGATAATATTTTTGTTATCATTGTCATTGCCTTTCTCCCCCTGGGTCAGGATATAGGCCACGAACAAACCCTCTCCACCTTCCCCTATCCTGGGCGAGTCGCTTGATGTCACTCCACGTCTTCCCACTTTTCTGTTACATCCATTTCCGTGACTCTTCTCCAGGTTCCACGTGGTCTTCCCTTTGATCCTTTACCCTGTGGGTTCCAATCTAACACTTTTCTTGTTATGCAGCTGCTTGGCTTCCTGAAAGTGTGTCCAATCCATCGCCAACGATTTCTCATCTCTGACTGGACTCTGTCTCGTTATTCTTAATACTTAATTTTTAGTTGTAGTTTACTCATATTGTAACGCCATAGATATTGCTGCATCAGGTTATTATCTTTTTTTTTCTCTTTTTTTTTTTGGTAAGTGTTTTAACGGCGCTCGCAAATGCATAAATTAAACTTTTCAGTTGGTAGGAAATTTTGAATTTTGCACGTGTGGCAGCCGAAGCCTACTCTTATCGATTTTAGACCACCAAGGGATCTTTAACTTGCACAACTTGTACACGGGCCCTCCGAGCTTTTTCACCCTTGTCCGAGAAGGCTAGGTGTAGATCGTTCTATTATCTTTAACCCAAAGAGTACACGCATTCTGGTCAATCGAAAACACACAAAGACCCGCTCTTTTTGGGATACTTTGAAAAAGTAGCATAAATTCTTAATTCCTACGAGAGTTTTCCCATTCTGTTTCCCATTCATGAAATTTAAAAAAAAATACAGACAACAACATGCATTCTATCAATTTATACGCAAATTCGTGTGTCTGATCTGTGTATGATGACGTGTCTGTCCCCGTGGTTTTATGCACCCCGAATAATTGAGGAAAATTTGATAATTTTTTTGCATCATTTCCGATTATTTTCCTTTATCGTTCTTTGTTAAAAGTAACAGAATCGTATAATTTCACATTTTTGGGTTCAGTTTGCATAATTTCAGAATTTTCCTTCAACGGGGACAGGTAGGATGGTTCCAAAGGAGCAGGTACATGGCCATGTCTGTCGCTGGTCGGACGTACGTGTCCGCTACCTCCTCAAACAGTTCAAAGAAAGTTGCTATTTCATAATCTATACATATCATATTTGTGAAAGTCCGTCACTTTGACACCCTAAAACTTCCGAACAACTTAACTTTCGAATTTGAAAAAAAATAGTGGTGGTTCAGAATCATTTAAAGGGTGCACAGTTTTATTTAGGGGTCTGACGTCACTGTGTGTAGTTTAATTTTCAGTTTTTCATTAGTTTCGTTTAGATCTAATCTTGGGAAAGTCCGTCTTCTTAGACGCCATTGTGAACAAGTGAGGCTTCCGTTTACAAGCAGTGCACACTTTTCCCACAATGACTTGATGATCGATGATTCTATTAAGTCCATTCAACGAACGTGTACCCATGTAGTACACTATAGAGCAGTTAAAAATTCGTGGCGCAACTTATCCTCAAACATACCTTTAACAGGTAACTTAATGTCACCCATACATTGCACTGCACTTAGTATAAATCTGTTTTAGCTTAATCATATTTTTCCACAATAATTTAGCCTAGATTAAGAAACTTTTCTTTGTAAATTTATATAAAATACAATAAATCTCCATTACGCGGAAAATGGGAGAGTTCACAGTACCTCCTGCTTCTCACACACATTTTGCATTACACCACTGCTCACCAATGACACTTTTTACTATCTTTAGTGGCAAAACGTGTAGCCAAAAAATAAAATATTAATTCTATAGTGAACACATTTTTTTCCAACGAAATGTTCTCCAAACAGGGGTTTGTAGTGTCTCGAGAAGAAGAAGAAAGAACCGACGCTTGTAAAAGCGTTATTGTCCCAGTTCGTGAGATGGAAACCTTTTAACATCTGTAAACACTACCCACTGGGATTTTTACTCTGTAAATGTATTTATTGAGGAATTGTGAAGAATACAGCTAACACTATCAGGTGGGGGGTTTTTCTTGTTGTTTTAGTAGAGGTTTTACGGCGCTTGCAACTGCATAAGGTCATATGAGTGCCATATCAGGTGTTTACAAAAATGTTTGATCTGTTAAGACAAATAAATAATTGATACAAGTCATTGTGCAAAAGTTGGAGAACCTATGTTCGTTAGTTTAGTTTAGTTTTAGTAAGAGTTTTACGGCACTTGCAACACAATAAGGTCATATAAGTGCCGAAGATTAGAGGTGTTACAAGAGAGTAACAAACATAAAAAGAAGAAGGAGAGATCAGGACGATAGCTTTTGATAGGAAAGAAGGAGCAAAGCACACCAGAGCACCTGATAACCATCCACAACCTATGTTCGACAGTTGAGGATATGTGGTCGCTTTTAAGCACAAGAGGGCTATTCCGACAAATGCTGTTTTGACAAAATCGAAGGTTAAGTTTTTGGACTCTTTTTCAGCTTCTTTAAAAGACAGGGAGAGTTTTTTCTATAACAAAACGAATATACACACCAATGAAACCAAACTTCTCCTTTAAGTAGGGCAATGTCAGGTTTTGGTGTAGGTCAAGATTTCTGGAAACCCCCGAAATCTGGGATAGCCTGCTTGTCCTTAAAAGCGACCATAATATGAAGATTTCATAATGAATTGCGCCACGTATTTTTTGACCGCACTGCAAATCGGCACTCAGCACAGTATCCTCGCCATCTAGATCTCTAGTCCTGGTAAGCGCACTGTCTCTGATGGTAAAAAATATTCTTCACGTAGTAGATAAAGGAGGCAGGTGCTGTGAAACTTGTCTCGTTGCTGACGAGGCACATCTGTAGATCGTAGTCCAGGTCGATCGAACGACACACGTCCAAGGTGTAGGCCAGGCACGCTGCCTCGCACGCTTCCGGTGTGATCATTTCCGGCTCGATGAAGACCTGCAGGTTGTTTCCGGTGATGTAATTGTTGGGGAACACCGTGAACTCCTGGCCGTACTCCGGGCATTCTGGGAGGGAAAGGCAGATCAGATCAGATAAAATAGGGTAAGATCAGATCAGATAAGATGAGATCAGATCAGATAAGATAAAATATGGTAAGATCAGATCAGATAAGATGAGATCAGATCAGATAAGATAAAATAAGATAGCTCACCTGAGCATAAGGTCACATAAGATAAGATAAGCTCAGATAAGATAAGATAAGAAAAGATACGATAAGATAAGAAAAGATAAGATACATTTTAATGTTCAGATTGGCACATTGGCTTTCTCAGTCTCTGGATGCAAGTATAGATCTAATAAACTTTGTCAAAATGAATATCGGAGAGTGAGGGATGCGGGGGGAGGGGTGGTCACTGATTACCAGTAGTGGAGGGACAGATGACTAGGGGAGTAGCCTATAAACTGATGGTCAGCAGTTGGGGACCAGGGATCTCTGCCTTGAGCGTGAACTTGTAGTACAGTAGTACTTTACGATGGCCATCTTAAGCTACATTGACCGTCTGTATAGAAGAAAAGAGCCATACATACACATACACATTACGATGACAAACCTTTCCGTAAATCGATAAGAGTAGGCTTCGGCCGCTACCCCGGGAAAAATTCTAAATTTCCTACCAACTGAAAATATTAGGTGCCTCCCGCCCGCTCAAATGACCTTATGCAGTTGCGAGCGTCGTACAACACTTATCAAAAAACAACAACAACAACAACAAAAAAAATAGAACCCCGGCCTTCCACCCAGTAACAAGACATCTCAGGAGTTGTAGGTAGGCCCTACAGGGAATCAGACTTACTCTGCCCACCTCTCTAGCTTCAACAGCACAATGTCTGCTTCGACTATCAAGGCACCCCAGAAATAGTGGATCACTAGAGGTTGACAAACATACTAAAGAAGCAGAGGGAAAATGACGATAGTAAGTGTTAGGAAAGAAAAAGCAGCAGTTCCCTGTTGTAGTTCAGGCACAGCAATGAGCAGGACATTGTTGGATCAGCCCATTTAAAATTCTACTGTGCATTAGAACGAGAAATGTCCCCCCTTTGGGAATGAGGTAAAGACACTTCAGTCAGTGGCACCGCCCCCCGGGGAGGGGGGGGGGGGTAGCAAGACTGAAACAACTTACCTGTGACGCAGGAGCGAGAGTTCGGGGAGTAGCTGTGAGTGGCCTGGCACTGGCATTGTCCTGACAGACAGAGCGAGTTATTCATGGCACACTCGATGTCTGTGGTACATTTACTGCCGACTGCACCAGGGGCTGGGGAGAGAGACACACTGGTCAGACAGACAGACAGACAGACAGACAGACAGACAGACAGACAGACAGACAGACAGACAGACAGACAGACAGACAGACAGACAGAGAGAGACACCCAGAGACACAGAGACAGAGACAGAGACAGAGAGAACTAGATCATCCCCAGATGACGTCATTACCTCTGCTCGTCTCATACGTCACAAATCCCAGGTCAGGCCGGAAGATGTCGAGATCCGTGAGTCGATGCGCGTGCAGCCGACACCGCCGCGTGGAGTGGTTCACCATAAAACTCGTACACGCCAACATACTCACGCACAGCCGAGCGCAGTCCAGACGGGACTTGGAAGACCCCAGGTCCACTTCGCGGATAAGCCACGTGTCAGTGACCTTGTCGACTAACTGGGTCATTGGCCAGGCGTGGCAGCTCTGTATGGTGCACAAGGCGGCGGGGAAGGAGATAGTGAGGGAGAAGAAGAGAAGGAGGGTCACGTGATTCTCGGGCAGGGACCCCGACATCTTCTCGATGGTCTGTGGTGGTCAGTGGCTGTTTTTTTCTATGTCGTGTGGCGGTGACACATGCTAATGTGTTGTCAGTGATGGTCAGTGGCTGTCTGTTTTAGGTTGAGTAGCGGTGGCACATGCCACTGATATTCAGCGCTGGTCAGTGGCTGTATTTTTCTATGTCGTGTGGTGGTGGCACATACCACCGGTGGTCAGTGCTTGTCTGTGGTGGTCAAAGATGGTCAGTGGTGGTCAGTCTGACGTCAGACTGGACAACTGAAGATGGACGGCTGGTGGCACGACATGCTGCAGGCAGGTACTGCTGGTCACTGAAGGCCTGAGGAGGTCAACGACACATGCATCATTTGGGGTCAGTTACGATTGGTAAAAAGCTCTGAAAAGTTAACCCCCCCCCCCCCCTTGGTACCCGATAGAGACAGCGAAAGATTTTGTCAGTATGTTAGTGTTTTAGCACCTATAAATGGCTGCTTGCACTGTATGATTCCCAGGAAGTTGAGATTGTTTCAGAATGTTCTCAGGTCTGCTGGGGTAATAGTATAGATTGCGAAGCGCATAGAGCTTGCTGTTGAGCGGGGATTGGCGCTATACAAATGCTATCTATTATTATTAATATTATCCCCCCCCCCTTTCCGCCGTTTCCTCATTTACCAACTTCCTAATTGCCCGAAAACCCTATTGTTTTTCCTGGGTTTCTGATATGCCTGGTTTTCTCAAAGTGTTGGAAGTACTGGACCATTTCTCCTTCAGTGAAGTAAAAAAGTAAGCTTGTCGATCATTCTGTGCAGAACATAGAGGAAGAAGTCTGTCGCCAGTATAATTAATGTATTCTCATTTACAATCAGGTTTCAAGAAACAGGTGATTATATTATCACCAACCTCCCACGGTATTGGAACCGAAGTGTCATAGCCTTGTTAAAAACGCATAGCTTCAATTGAATAACCATCTCTATCGGTGGAAATGAATAAAGTCACCATCATGTGAGAGGTGTAACTCCCATGAAATTGTAGATGAATTTCACAATAATGGTAATGATAATAATAATAATAATAATAATAATAATAATAATAATTATAATTATAATAACAATAATAATAATAATAATAATAATAATAATAATAATAATAATAATACATTGTAGTAATAATAATAACAATAATAATAATAATAATAATAATAATAATAATAATAATAATAATAATAATAATAATAATAACAACAATAAATAGCATTTGTATAGCGCATGTCCCCCCTCGAAAGCAGGCTCTATGCGCTTTACACTATATACTTTGTCCTTCAAATGAAATTTTAATAGAGCAGATAGAACATTGGACTTCTGACCCCATGGTCATAATAAATGAAAAAGGCGAAAATTGTCAGATAGAACTTTGTGATTCCAAGGTAGCGAAGTCAAGCTGTCTTTTTCCTCTTCTCGTTCATCACCTAATGGACATCTCATTCTCTAATGCGGAGACTCTCGTGGCCAAGAGGTTAAGGTGTTGGCCTCTCATTCAAAGATCCCGGGTTCGAATCCGGGTAGCGACCGAACAATTTTCTTCTCTAAAATTGTCTCTTTTCACCTCGTTTCCTGCTCTCAAGCAACGTTCTGTCGTCTGCTTTCATCTCCTCTTTCTGTCCCCACCCCCTCACCCCCTTTGCCCCCTCCTCTGGGCTCCTGACTTTTTCGGCAGCCTTTCTACTGCTACTCCGTGGCTCCTTTTTAAGTTTTTACTACTGTTTTTCAGTCACACCCCTGATCTTCTGGTAGGAAAGCTCTACACCTAGCCTTCTCGGACAAGGGCGAAAAGTCTCGGAGGGCCCGTGTACAATTTGCGCACGATAAAGATCCCTTGGTGGTCTTTAAAAAATCGATAAAAGAGTAGGCTTCGGCCGACAGCCGGGCAAAATTCAAAATTTCCTACCAACTGAATGTGTCCCGCGCGCTGATGTGACCTAATGCAGTTGCGAGCGCCACTTGAAACACTTACCAAAAAAAAAAAAAAGTCTCTAATGAAGAGGCTGCTGTTCCCCTGCTCCCCCAGGCTCCTGTAGAGTTTTGGCTCTGCCTGCTTGGGGTTGGGGTTGGGCCAGAATTTCATTTTAAGTGCTTCGAGCATTGTTTGATTTACTAGCAAAAGGCTGGGAGCTCAATCCCCATCTGAACCTTATCTTTATCCATAGGAAACGTGTACTTTACCTAGATTCCTTAACCCAATCCGTACGTCGTGTTTTACTATCGTATCCATACGACATGGAGAACCCTGTGTCACCACTTAACCCTATCCGTACGTCGTGTTTTACTATCGTATCCATACGACATGGTGAACTCTGTGTCACCACTTTCCAAAGAAGAAATTTACTCGTTAATCCGATCCGTACGCTTTGCATAGCAGTCTGTCAACATGATGTTTTGAGAAATACTGAAAGTTTCAAAGAGATCTTCGGACTATTAGTATTCTAAAATGTGAAGAATACAACCCCGAGGTTACAAATAGACCCCAGGGCGTACGGATAGGTGTTTTTTTAAGAGTCGGCAAGTCTACTGACCTGACGCTACATTATTGGTTAATATTATTATTATTATTATTATTGTTATTGTTATTGTTATTATTATTATTATTATTATTATTATTATTATTATTGTTTTCCTTATTGTTCATAAACATCTGCTTTGCTATACTACAACTACATCCACATACATTAAAATATTTGGTGGGTAATACACGCTTGTTGCTTGAAATCTTTGTTGGTGTTGTTGTAGGAGAGGTTTTACGGCGTTCGCAACTGCATAATATTAAGGTCATATGAGCGCCAGAAGATAAGAGATGTTACAAGAGAGTAACAAACATAAAAAAAAGAAGAAGGGGAGATAAGGAAGATATAATTATGTTTCATAGGAAAGAAGAAGCAAAGCACACCAGAGCACCTGCCAACCACCCACTTGAAATCTTTCTTGTTTACAATGAAAATGTTAACGTATTGCTATCTTCATCAAAATTTTCTGCAACGAAACCTGAAAAGGCCAACTAGGCAAACTACTTGAAAGAGTTAAAATACATTGTTGGAAATCCGTACTTAATAACCAGCGGAGACTGAATAATAAAAGAAATAAATGCAAGTTAGGCCTTTTTAAACTGGCTGCAATGCAGTACGTTCTTGTTAGCTGTGAGAGCGTGGGCAAATTAAAATTTATTAGAATGGACCAGCCGGCCATGAAAGTCGTTTGTAGAGCTGAGTACGTGAGTCTTGAGCGGGCGTGAACAATACACGTTAAACCACCTAATTTAATCACTATAGTTTTTATGGTGGAGTTGATAGCAATACTGGTTAAAACTGCCTGCTTGAATCACTGTAGTTTTTATGGCGGGGTTGCTGGGCGCTCGCGATTGTACAATGAACAGCAACATGATTAATGTGCGGTGTCTTGAGTGGCCAATATCGTGTTCTGCTGTCGTAATCCTAGCGCACTACAAAGGTTAATGCACTGCCCTCAATTCTAAATGGTATAAACCGTGCACTCTAACTTGTTCTTACGGGAACAACCTTGCTGGCACTGCGGCTCTGACGAGAGCCCCCCCCC